TTTTTCAATCTATTTTAAAAATTTTTTAAACCCCCCCCCCCCCCATGTCTGAAATTCAGTAATCAAACAACTCTCCGGCAGGGTCCACTGATTTAAACACACCTGCCATCACAAGTGGCAACATATGAGTGAGTCAGTGGATGAATGAATGAATTTATTATGGTCAAAGACTGACTTATGAGCAGATTTCGGCCTTTATTTTAAATTTGGTTTGGAATGTTTCCAACTTTTCAAAGAATTTTATCGTGTGTTGCCTTAGAACCGCAGAGCTGAAATGGACCCTATGGGTCATCATCAGAGTCCAGCCCCACACTAGGGGAATTGAATTAAACCATGGGGGGTTCAAACACCCATCCTCTGGTTCCTAAGCGAGAGACCTCACTCCCTGAACTCTCCCGCAGACAACCTTAGGGCCTCCCCTACCCCAGGGAGCCAAGAAAAGTAGTGAACAAAAGCTTAAAAGAGTTTAAGTCAGCAGGTTAAATAAATAAATAAAATACATAAATAAAACAAAGTAACTAGTTACATTTCAAACGCTCAGGCAACTGAAATGAGTTACTTTCAAAAAGTAGTTTCCTGAGATTAGTCCACCTATCCATCATAATTTTTTCTGTAGCTAAAAAGCAACAAAAAAACCCCACACCACACCCTTGTGAGGATCACCCGATAAGGGGAAACAGCTCAGATTTTCACAGGGTATCAGAGGGCACCGTTTCCTGTTTTTCAGAGAGAGTTTCCTGTTCTTTCTCATCATCCTCTTTGCCGTTGCCTGCGGCTGCTTTTATTTTCGGGTGGCATCATTTCGGAATGACTGCACAATCCGTTTACCGGATTCTGTCTTTCAGATTGCGATGCCCGGTTTTTGAACCCCTTTGAGACTAATGGGGGGGGAGTGATGTCCCTCGGGGTGACTACAAATCCTATCAGCCCCAGCCAGCACTGGCAAAGGCTGAGAATTCTGGATGCTGTAATTACAAGTTTTGGAGTTCTGTGCCGGAACAAGCACAGGGGCAGACAGGCTGACTGACATTCATGTATCCGGACTAAAACTTCCCAAAACCCTTTCTGGATTTGGCTTCTGGACTCCAACTTACACCATCCTCACTGTTGGCTCTGGTGGCTGATGGGAGTTGGAGTTTGACCCTTGCAGCAGGAGCAACTTGGATAAGAGCTGGGGATGATCAGCATTGTAGTCAAGGAGACGGCCAGTTTGCAGGCAGCTGGTTTACTCCATTTTTCTTATTTCCCCTCCCGCCTGCCCAAACCACAGCCCTCAGAATCCCCTGGCCAGCATAGCCAGGGGATTCTGGGTTACCAAAACAACAACACAATTTTAAAAGGAAGAAGGGGGGGGAATCAAAATTGTACTATATCAACAGCACAATAACAGAATTGGGGTGCACATTTTTCCGTAATCTTTCACCACGTGATCGTGAGCGGGTCCTTTCCCCCCCACTTGGCCTACCTGAGAGGGTCGTTGTGCAGAAAACCCTTGAAGGCATTGTGAGCTTTTTAAAAAAGCAATCCCTCTCCTTTTTTTTTTTTTTTTTTTAGTTTTTTGAAATAGCAGCCTCCCCCAATCTGATGAGCTTCAAAAATGGTAAGAGGCCAGCGGCACTGTGGTCTGACGAGGATGGACTTTGTAGTCCAACCCCAGGGGCGGAGCATTTGGGGTAAATGTCTACAATGCCTGGCACTGTGATTTCTCGTCAGCATGTGCTGCATTAAATCTTTTGCAATCCACAGGATGAAAGCTGAACGGAACATTTTGTCTTTCTCACAGAAAAGAGAGGAGAAATCACTTTAAGAAATAAGCGGTAATCTGGTGTGTCAAGGGGAGAAAGACGAGAAATCCACGCCCCCTAAAGCTGGTTTCTTCACCCACCACGTATATGGGGGGGGGGTCGCCAGCTATGCAGTCTGGCTTGGGGGAGGATGATGAAAGATGTCCCACCCATTTCGAAGGAGCATTTTTTTTGGGGGGGGGAGGATCTCCTAAAGAGAAAGAAAGGGGCAACCGGAAAGGGAAATGCCACCTTGGAGTTGAGTTAAATGGGAAATTACTTTTCCTTTGCTAACAAATAGTAACTAGAGAGTAATGAGTTAAAAAGTCACTTTCTGGTAACACAAAATAAAGGCTTGCTTGTTAATGTATAGTAATAATTAAAAAAATACTTTCGATAGTTAAGCAAACCTTGGAAGCAATTATTATAACAACTAGTTCCTTCAAAATAGGTACTTACTACTAAACTCCTGCTTAAATGCCCTGGTACAGTACTTAACTACCAAGGATTTTTTTAGATAGAGTTGCAACTTTTAAAAGTACTGTATTTCCTTTTTCTTAACCGAAAAGCAACTTTGATCACGATTGCTTTTATAAACAAAAGCAGTTTACTTTGGGGAACAAAAAAATAAAGAGTTATGAAAATCCACTATAACAGTAACTAATTCCTTTGGGTGGTATATGAAACCATAGTTTGATTCTTTTTAAACAATAACTTTCCAAGTTCTGTTAGCTATCAGGAAAGATGGTTAGGATGATTGTGGTGGTACCTTGGGTGATTTCCTATGTTTTAGGTAAAAATCACCATCTTTCTATGCACCGCTTTTAAACGCAATAATTCACTTATTTACAGTATTAGCTTCCTATTAAAACTAATATTTTTTTCAGAATCTTAAGGATCAGAACCTTGCTATTTAGGAGGGGAAAGTACAGATTAATCACACTTCTCCCTGCAAACAGCATTTCCAATTGTGTGGGTGGGTGGGGGAAATCAGGCTGCAGGCGATCGGAAAGGTCATATAAATTAGACAGACAGGGGTGAAGCCGCTGCCAGGTAGAGGAAGGAATACGGAGCTAGATGGATAAATACCTGAAAGCATCTTTTAAATGTTCCTGCTGAAAAAGAACTCTTGATTCATGACCTTGAGGACTAGAAACTTCATTTTTTTCAAGGGAAATCACCATAGCTCAGATTAGGATCAGCTGCCAGTCAGAGCCGGTAATATTGGGCTAGATGGAAAGCCAGCCTAACTTGGTGCAAGGAATCTTTCTGGGGGCTTAAAACGGCAAAAAGTTGGATGGCCACGCTAGGAACTGTCCCTCTGGAGCCCCTGCCCCACGTGACGAGATGGGAGAACATAATTCTTCTTGAAGCTAAAGCCGGGATTCGGAGAGCGAGAGCCGGAGAGGTCATCTAGACCAACCCCGTGTTCGATGCAGAAGGGGCGAAGACGGTCAAGCGGAGTGGGTGCGGGGGGGGGCTTTCTTTGGGATGGCAAATTAAGAGGAGGGTTCCTGAGTTAAAAGGAGAGGGGGCCTCATCCAGACTCACCTGTCCACCTCTGCCCGAGGGCTCCAGCCCACGTGCGAGGGTTCAGCGTATGCCTGTCTCGGCAGCAGGAGTGAAACCACCAGCGCTGGGACACCTGCCTTAAAGACCGTGGTATCATGCTGTTTGGGGGTTGAGTATGTGTGTGTGTGTGTTGTTTTGAACAAAACACAAGGTCTACCTAGCAAACCCAGACGAAAGAGGATATTGCACCACACCCTGACATCAGGAGAAAAACACCACAATGCCAACCGCAAATGGGGTTCGGGCAGGATGGACCCACCCAAGCCGCGGTTGACGGGCACAAGTCACAAGAGCGACACGCTTGGTTTTCAACTTTGACAGCATCCCTTTTCCTTCTCTTCTTCGTCCAAGGTCCCGTTAGGGTTGGCCACATTTTCACCCCCACCCTTTGGCTGGGGCAGAGAAACATATTTTCATTTTGGAAAACAGGAAACCGTTGGACAGAAAGCTCGAGGGCCAGGGGTAGAGTGGTGGTTGGAGGTTTGGGCCTCATTCGGGTATGGTTTGTCCTGTCCCACCGGCCGCTCTTTGGGCTAAAAGAATTCAAAAATCCATGTGGCTGGGTGGATCTGGGCCAAACCCCTCCCCACCAGTGCTAATGGTTTCTATCTAGACAGAGAACGGGGTTTTTGTAAAGCTAACAGGTCCTGATGGCTCATGACCAAGCTGGGACTCTGCATTATGGCAGAAACCACTCAGAACAATATACTGTAATGGGCAAACATCCTCACCCAGAAACCTATTGGCTTACGTAGGCACATAAAGGGAATCATATTTGGTGTTTCCAATGCCCTGCGAGGGTCTTCGCCATGTGCCATTGAGCAATCGGATTCAGAAAAGAAGTGCCTGATCTGTATGGCAGTCTGCAATCATCTTTTTTTTCTCAAATGGGTTCCAATGCCCTGCGAGGGTCTTCGCCATGCGCCATTGAGCAATCGCATTGAGAAAAGAGGTGCCTGATATGTATGGCAGTCTGCAATCATCTTCTTTTTTTCTCAAATAGGTTTTGGCCACAAACCACCACCACCCCAAAAAAGGCTACAAGTTTCAGAAATTTTAGGGGAGGGCCACCAATGGTTAGAGATTGTGAAAGCTCCCCAATCAAAATAGGTGGGGATTTCGTCTTTGTGTCGTAGAAAGAGTCAGGGTGGGAAATACGTTTCTTTCCTGACCCTCCTTCATTCCCAAAGAAGCTCAGAAATGCTGTCATGGTCAGCTCAAAAACACCCCAGCTGGCTGGGAAGGGATTTGAGCAGCTGCGGTTGAAAAATATTTATATATAACATTTTCCTCCCAGCAGCTTGTCCCTGGGAAAAAGTTCAGAATCATTTCCAGACTGCACATATGATTGAGCCTCTGAAGGAGCCAGGGAAAGTCCTGGGAACTGGGGGCCCTTGGAAAAAAGAAACTTTTTCAAAATTTGTCAGATCAAGCCAGAACTCTCTCTGGAAGCACAAATGTTGAAGTTGAGGCCATCCAAATTTGGGCACACGATGAGAAGGCAGGGTTCCCTGGGGGAAAATCATGCTGGGAAAGGTGGAAGGCAACGGGAAAAGAGGAAAACTGCATGTGTGATGGACCGGCTCCCTAAAAGAAACCACAACTTTTGAGTTTACAACAGCTCACAGGGCTGCCTTCCAATTCCAATTGCTGGTTTTTGTTTGTTTAATTTTCGCTTCATCAGACTGTTTGGGAAAAGAGGAGATGCTAGACTTGTGGTTCCAAACCTCGTTTTCTCAGTGTTGTCAGACTCCAGGTCCCATCCTCCTCCTAAATGGGCAAGACTGAAGGTTAGGAATCTTGTACGGTCGTTTACACTCACTAGAGACATCGGGGGGGGGGGGGTCGCAGGTATAGGGACCAAACCTTGAGAAATCAAGGTGCAAATGGCCACAGAGGCAGGCCATCTCCCCCAGCGCCAGCGGCCTACCTCGCAGGGCTATGGAGGGGGAAAGAAAGGAAAGATGACAAAATCCAGGGGGTTGAGCATTTTATCATCAAGGGGAGATATTGATAGAACTGATCAACAAAGACACAAGAGGAGGTGGCCGAGCCCTGTGGACCGCTTTGTCCTGGTTCAAATGTCCGCCGCAAGGGAATCTTGAACTGATCCTGGCCAGGATCGGTGCCAAGTCCCCCCCCCAGGGGTGCTCAGTGGCAGTCGGGTGTCATCATGTCCCACAGGCAGCAGCAACAGAGAGCTGCTAAACAGGCCTGCAGGCAGGTGGACAACGTGGTATCGTCTCTCCTCCGGTCTTCCATCACGTACACGGCATGTCCCGGCCCATAGACGTAACCCGGCGGGAGAGGCGCGGCGTGAGGATGGTAACCTGAGTGGCCGTATGGCGGGTAGCCCCCATAGCCTGGTTGCCCGGCTGGGTATGTTCCTGGTGAATAGGCAGGATATGGTTGAGGGGGCTGAGGGTAGAAGGCCCCCGGGCCGGGATACGGCGGTGGGCTCGTCATGGCCAGAAATCCTGTCTCACATCACGACAACACCTCCTCGTCCAAGCAAACTGGTCCCCAGTGTCTCTTCCCTTCCCACCGAGGGATGGACAGATGGTGTGGGAGCGCAGTGGAGATGCGTGTGGCTTCTTTCGTTCTTTCTTTAGTTCTTTCTTTCTGGGAATGGAGGCGGCGGTTTCTTTCTTTCTTTCTTTCTTTCTTTCTGGGAATGGAGGTGGCGAGAACAGCACAACCGAGCTGGGAAAGAAGCAGAAAGGAACTGGGGACAGGCGGGGAAGGCTGGTGAGTAAAGACCGAGCAAGCAGTGGGCAGTCCACGTCATTGATATGTATATCTCAACAGGTATAACAAAATCTTTCAAGGGATGATTGGCTAGTACCTGTTCCATCACCAGGATACACGGCTGTTGTTTGAGAGGAGTCCAGTTTTACACTCACTCACACGGCTGTCTGTCTTGATCCGCCAATCACCTCCTGCTCTCTCTCTTTTTTTAACTTAATTTTTTAAATTTCCAAAACAAATGCAAGAATACAAAATACTTACTAATACAATTGAAAACACAGTGCACCCCCATACCCACGGGACTCTTTGGAGCAATACTTTTAATTCAAACCTCCTTTCCAAAATTGTATTGTTGTCTAGAGGCTTTCCCCTTTCCTTTCACTAATACAAATTCAATAAATCTACCCCATATAGGATAAAAAAATTCAAACTTATTTCCCCTCTTTTCATCTTAATTTCAGTAGTCAATTTATCATTTAAAGCAATGCCCAATTAGACCAATCTTCTAATTTAATATCATTTTATTTTTCCAGAATCTAGCTATCAATATTCTAGCACTTGTCATAAAATTAGAAATCAATGTGCACTCAATGTGAAATCAGTTTCTTTGAGCAATAATCAAGCTCTATCTTATCAAAAATTGACAGCAAAGCAATTTTAGAATTAAGTTTGATATATTTTCTAAATATATTACATATTTCCTTAAAAATCAATTTCCAAAGTTTCTGAATCAATTTACACTCCCACCACATATGATAATATGTGCCAATTTCTTCATCACATTTCCAACAGGCCATAGAATAGTCTGAATTTATTATGTTCAATTTCACCGGAGTCATATACCACTTTAAACTATTTTTTTAAAAATTTCTTTTATTCTTACCAGCATTAATCTTAAAACTCTCATCTTCCCAATTTTTGTCCAGTCTCTTTTTCCTCTTGTTCCAAAATTAGGTTATAAATTCTACTTACTACTCCTTTCCTCAAAGCATCTTTCTGCATGTCTTCATGTGATGATAGAAACTGTACATACTTAGTACATTCTCTGCATTTGCCTTTAGTCTTCAACCATTCATTTGTCCAGCTATCTAATTGGATATAATTATATCATGATGGTATATTAGTTTGAAGTTTAACTACAATGTGATCCTCCAATCTCATTTTAATCATACAATCCTTCAATCTGGCAACTTTTTTATCCTTAAACAAATCAGCTAAACCCTTCAAGTTTGCTGGGGAATTTTCTATTTCGGTCACTAATTTTAGTGGTGAAGTAAAGGGACACCTCCTGCTCTCTCTCTCTCTCTTTCTCTCTCTTGATCTATTATCAATTTATCCACTGGTCGGTCGGTCGGTCGGTCCCTCCCTATCTATCTATCTATCTATCTATCTATCTATCTATCTATCTATCTATCTATCTATCTATCTATCTATCTATCTATCTATCTATCTATCTATCTATCTATCTATCTATCTATCTATCT